TTTTCCACGGAAATTTGGGATGGGAACTGAGAATTCCAAAGGGTTTTTGGGATGGGAAACCAGAATTCCAAAGGGATTTGGGATGGGAATTTGGGATGGCAAACCAGGATTCCAAAGGGTCCATGGAATTCCAGGGGAATTTGGGGTGGAAAATGGGAATTCCAAAGGGATTTTGTGGTGGAAAACCAGAATTCCAAAGGGATTTGGGGTGGGAAATGAGAATTCCAAAGGGATTTTTGGGATGGGAACCCAGAATTCCAAAAGGTTTTTCCATGGGAATTTGGGATGGGAACCCAGAATTCCAAAAGGTTTTTCCATGGGAATTTGGGATGGGAACCCAGAATTCCAAAGGGATTTTTGGGATGGGCACTCAGCATTCCAAAGAGTTTTTCCAAAGGAATTTTTGGGGTGGGAACCCAACATTCCAAAGGAATTTTCCACGGAAATTTGTGATGGGAACCCAGAATTCCAAGTCCTGCCTCTTTGCCGTGATGATCCATGCTCTCGGCATTCCCAGCTGGAATTCCCAGGATTCCCACCCCCCATTCCCCATCCCAGTTTCTCCAGGAATCCCTGGAATCCATCGCGGACAAATCCTGGATTTGCCCCTTGGTGTCCGAGACCTTCCGGCAGCTCCGCGCCTGCGACGGCTCCCAGGCGGAGAAGGTGCGGACGGCGGGAAGTCCGGGAATTCCCCCGAGGCTCTTCCCACCGGAATTCCCGGTTTTTTTTTGCTGTTTTTCCCAGGATTTCCTGTACCGGTGCATGGGGACGGCGCTGGGGCTGTGTCCCAGCAAGGAGCTGGTGAGGAAACAGCTCCAGGAGCTCCTGGAGAGCGCCCGGGGCCAGGAGGAGGCCGAGCGCGAGGTCAGGGAGATCCCGGGAATGCCGGGGGGTCGTGGGTGAAGTCAGGGAATGCCGGGGGGGTCGTGGGTGAAATCCTGGAATTCTGGAGAAAATCCTGGAATTCTGGGGGAATTGTGGGTGAAATCATGGAATTCTGGGGAGGTCGTGGGTGAAGTCAGGGAATGCCGGGGGGTCGTGGGTGAAATCAGGGAATTCTGGAGAAAATCCTGGAGTTCTGGGGGGGTCGTGGGTGAAATAAGGGAATTCCAGAGAAAATCCTGGAATTCTGGGGGGGTCGTGGGTGAAATCCTGGAATTCTGGAGAAAATCCTGGAATTCTGGGGGAATTGTGGGTGAAATCCTGGAATTCTGGGGGGGTCATGGGTGAAATCAGGGAATTCTGGATGAAATCCTGGAATTCTGGGGAAATTGTGGGTGAAATCCTGGAATTCTGGGGAAATTGTGGGTGAAATCCTGGAATTCTGGGGGAATTGTGGGTGAAATCCTGGAATTCTGGGGGAATTGTGGGTGAAATCCTGGAATTCTGGAGAAAATCCTGGAATTCTGGGGGTGTCGTGGATAAAATCCTGGAATTCTGAGGAAAATGGTGGCTAAAATCCTGGAATTCTGGATAAAATCGTGGAATTCTGGGGGAATCGTGGAGAAAATCCTGGAATTCCAAAGGAATCATGGATAAAGTCTTGGAATTCTGAGGGAATAGTGGATAAAATCCTGGAATTCTGGATAAAATCCTGGAATTCTGGATAAAATCCTGGAATTCTGGGGGGGTTGTGGATGAAATCCTGGAATTCTGAGGAAAATGGTGGCTGAAATCCTGGAATTCTGGATAAAATCCTGGAATTCTGGGGACATTTTGGATGAAATCCTGGAATTGCGGGGAAATCATGGATAAAAGCCTGGAATTCTGGGGAAAATCCTGGAGTTCTGGGGAAATAGAGGATGAAATTCTGGGGGAATCATGGATAAAATCCTGGAATTCTGGGGGGGGTCGTGGATGAAATCCTGGAATTCTGGGGGAATCATGGATAAAGTCTTGGAATTCCGAGGGAATAGTGGATAAAATCCTGGAATTCCAAGGGAATTGTGCGTGAAATCCTGGAATTCTGGGGAAATCGTGGATAAAATCCTGGAATTCTGGGGAAATGGTGAATAAAACCCAGGAATTCCAAGGGAATTATGGATAAAATCCTGGAATTTTTTGGGAATCCCAACTAAAATCCTGGAATTCCCTGGAAATCCCAACTAAAAATCCCAGAATTTTTGGATCAATTCCTTCCTGGAGCTGAGATTTTTCCAGCTTTTTTCCAGCTTTTTCCCAACTTTTTTCCAGCTTTTTTTTCCATCCTGTTTCAGTTTTTCTCCCAAGTTTTTCCAGCTTTTTTCCAGAGATTTTTCCAGCTTTTTCCATCTTTTTTTCCAGCTTTTTTCCATACTTTTTCCATCTTTTTTTTAGCTTTTTCCAGCTTTTTTTCCATCTGTTTTCCAATTTTTTCCCATTTTTTTCCAAGTTTTCCCATCTTTTTTTCCATCTTTTCTTTTAACTTTTTCCAGCTTTTTTTCCCATCTGTTTTCCATTTTTTTTTTCCAGTTTTTTCCAGCTTTTTTCCATATTTTTTCCATTTTTTTTTAACTTTTTCCATCTTTTTTTCCATCTGTTTTCCAATTTTTTTCCAGTTTTTTCCATCTTTTTTTCCAGTTTTTTCCATCTTTTTTTCCATCTTTTTTTTTAGCTTTTTCCAGCTTTTTTCCCATCTGTTTTCCAATTTTTTTCCAGTTTTTTTCCATACTTTTTCCATCTTTTTTTTAGCTTTTTCCAGCTTTTTTCCCATCTGTTTTTCCAATTTTTTCCAGTTTTTTCCATCTTTTTTTCCATCCTTTTTTCCATTTTTTTTCCATTTTTTTTAACTTTTTCCAGCTTTTTTCCCATCTGTTTTCCAATTTTTTTCCAATTTTTTCCAGCTTTTTTCCCACCTTTTCTCCACTTTTCCCCCATTTTTTTCCCCACTGTTTTCCATTTTTTTCCAGTTTTTTCCATCTTTTTCCATCTTTTTTTCCATCTTTTTTTTTAACTTTTTCCAGCTTTTTTTTCCATCTGTTTTCCAATTTTTTTTCCAGTTTTTTTTCATCTTTTTTCCATCTTTTTTTTAGCTTTTTCCATCTTTTTTTTCCATCTGTTTTCCAATCTTTTTCCAGTTTTTTCCATCTTTTTTTCCATTTTTTTCCATCTTTTTTTTTTGCTTTTTCCAGCTTTTTTTCCATCTGTTTTCCAATTTTTTTTTCCATTTTTTTTCATCTTTTTTCCATCTTTTTTTTAGCTTTTTCCATCTTTTTTTTCCATCTGTTTTCCAATTTTTTTCCAATTTTTTTCCAGCTTTTTTCCCATATTTTCTCCACTTTTCCCCCATTTTTTCCCCACTTTTTTCCAATTTTTTCCAGTTTTTTCCATCTTTTTCCCATCTTTTTTTCCATCTTTTTTTTTAGCTTTTTCCAGCTTTTTTCCCATCTGTTTTCCAATTTTTTTCCAGTTTTTTTCCATACTTTTTCCATCTTTTTTTTAGCTTTTTCCAGCTTTTTTCCCATCTGTTTTTCCAATTTTTTCCAGTTTTTTCCATCTTTTTTTCCATCTTTTTTTTTAGCTTTTTCCAGCTTTTTTCCCATCTGTTTTCCAATTTTTTTCCAATTTTTTTCCAGTTTTT